AGGAGGTTGGATCTATGGAAGAGGAAAGTGAAGTGGCGGGAGAGGAGGGGAAGCGAGGGGAAGAGGGAGAGATCATGATAGAGGCGGAGTTTCTTGCCCTAGGCAGCTGCCCAGAGCAAGCAAGCTCTGGCTACGCCCCTGATGTCAGTTATCTAATAGGGGTTTAGGTATAGGTTTGGTAGGGTCGAATGCTGAAGTAGCGCCTTTCATCTCAATTTTGCGAGTAGACCGATAAGTACCGTCTTTCTAGTCGGCCTTGAAGGTTGTCGACCCGTTTTGTGGTGTGAAGAGGAGTGTGATCGACTTGAATGGTGAGTCGAGTGTGGACGCTTTTTGACTTGGCCCTAGTTAGGAAGGGTCGAATGCTGAAGCCGCTCGAATCATCCTTCCCATAGTATGACCGATTAGATACTTAAGGTGGGACACGTATCGAGTCCTCGTCGAGGACTAACACTTAGCTATTTGTAAGATATAACAATAATAAAAAATAAAAAATTGAGCTTATTTTTCCATCCACAACCTTTTAAAAAAAAAATCAACTCCCTTAGCCAAAATGGTTTCATCAACACCCACCACAATTTAAACAATCAAACCATTAAATGTTACAAATTTGCAGTTCCTCGTTCAACAGCACGTCACAAGCCAATTGACTCTACAATCCAGGTTGATTGCAAGTTATGATATCGCTTGGCATACATAAAATCTATTTCTTTTGTAAAACAAAACAAAACAAAATAAAAAATACATAAATAAATAAGCTCTATCGTTATTACTAACAAACATAATGAATGTTAAACATAATGAATGTTAGAGAGAGTTGGAACTACAAATGTATATCCGAGAGAGTAGAGACCAATGTTTTCGTCAAATCGCATAAGAATCATAAAAAGATTTCTTTTAGTTAGAAAGAACATTATCATTATCATTATTATTATTATTTTGGAATTCGCATAAGACTGTTAAATTTTTTTTATTCAATCAGTTAAAATTATTATTATTATACATAAAGCGTGTTTAAACCGTTAAAATTCGATTCGGTTCAATCAGTTTGTACGTTCACGCAGATTGACATTGACGCCCACCCAAACTCACGCTCTCAGTGGACAGCAGGCTGGATTGGGCTTTTGTTTTGGGGCGGGGCCTACGGGCAAAACAATCGGATGCACCTCGGAATGTCTCAGGAGTTCCAAAACACCCCCAGGGGTGTCTCGGAAATTCCGAGACACCCCAGGGGTGTCTCAGATCTGTGGAGACACCCCAGGGGTGTCTCGGATTCGTGGAGACGCCCCAAGCCCCCATTTGCCTATAAATAGCAACCCTTGGGCTCATTTTTAAAGGAGGAGGATTTTTGGAGAGCCTTGGCGAAGCCCTGCTGCAGTGAAGAGTGCCCGTGTGCTTCAACACCCTTCTAGCCTTAGTATTAGCCTTTAGCGTTAATACTAAGAAGAGCTAATACCTCGCTTTAGCCGAGGTATACGCTGATAGCTTCTAGATCTCACGCGGATCGACGAAGCTCTGTCCGATATTTCTGGATCAGAAGTTTCTAGATCTCACGCGGATCAACGAAACTCTGTCCGATTTATCCGGACTGGATCTGAGTACCCCGGTGATCCACGGATATCAACATCCCCGTCACAGGCCAAAGACCCACGCAAGCAAGAGATGACAAACAGCTCTTGCGTTTGTTTGAAAGGAGTTGCATTTCTTTTGTTTTCATTGTGTAAAGGTCTTATAAAAAGACTATCTTTTTATTTCATTGTAACGATCGAAGTTGTAATGAATGCAGCAATGAATACAGCGACTTTTTCCGCAAACAAGCTGGCGACCACAGTGGGAGCCAACGGCATCGCAACCGACGCCGTCGTGACGCAACCAGCACTCAAGATCGGGGTGAATGAAGAACACGAGCTCGATCAACAACAGTTCAAAGAAGGCCTCTCTTCCTCCTCCTCCAGATCCGCCTCTCCAAACGGGTACAGAAAGGTAACCTCTTTCATAAATGATTGCAGGTCCTTCGGTTCAAAAATCCAAGACCCCGTTGCCGCCTCTGCACTTCTGCCGTTTGCTTTGGAGACTGTAAGCTCACCGGCGGCGGTGACGAGAACATTGTGGCGAAAAGGAGTGCGGTGTCGGGCGTGAGCCCACCCCAACAAGGAAAGTAGCTGTGTCTTTCCGCCACGCGGGGCCCACTTCTCGACAGCCTATTTCCAATCTTTGCCCCGCTAAGAGCGCGTTATTTACGAAAGCGCCCTTGGGCTTCCATCCGCAAACGTGGGCGATGGTTCAAATGCGCGAGTGGATCGTGCTGATCCAACGTGATAATTCTTAAATCTTATTCCTCTCTATTAACTAAGGACGCATACACCATGATATGGAAAATTTTACACAAAAATTCTTATCGATATCACGTGGGGAGAAAATTTAACATGGATGTGAAATAACTAAGGTTAAATGAAATGAAATTGAAATACAAATCAAATGATTACAAAAGGTGTGGATGTACGTCACGTACTTAATAATAGGATTTAGGGCTGATTTTGAAGAGCTTAGGGTCCATTGATCTTCTTTGATGGTTGATCCCCTGATAAGAAGAGAGTCCTGCACATATGCGGCACGTTAGTTGACTGGAGTCGGGTTCTCCGGTGATTTATCTGACGATCAAGTTAGTTATGATCTGAAGATGAGAAATGAACTGATTCAGCTCTCTCTAAACGTGCAGAAATTGCGCACCTTTGGTCAGTAGATGACGTGCCTCTTTGTATCGAGCTGACGAGGGTATTTATGTAATCTTTATGTAGTCGGTTTAGTCAGCTGATATCTTTAGAGGTGTCGGCATTGGGAGGCTCAAGTCATCCTTGTGATTAATGTGACGGTGACCGAGAGAGTAATGTGCTAACAATATTCGATGAGTCATTAAGACTTTCAGCGGGAGCGTAATGATGACGTCTACCGCGCATTTAATGTGACGGTGATTGGCTGTTGACGATGGGTTTGAGAATGGCTGTCTTTTGTCTCGGCCTTCAAAGGGACGAGAAGTGACGCCTTTCGTTTCGACCCTCAATAGATACCAGAAAGTGACTAGAAGATGAGCTCGTGTTTTAGGCAGTTTCACAAAACTGGTCTCCTTGATACAAACTCGGTCCAAAACATCATTCTAAGTTTGACAAAAATTAGATTCAAGTTGAATCGTTCAAATTATAGCACTAAAATTAATTTTTTTGGGGGACCACCCGATACATGGACCAGCTCTAAAAAAATCAATGTACATTCAACTTTATTTTGGAATTGTCACCCACGCTCTCGATATTTTCAAATCACCATTAATCAATACGTTCAAAATATGTAAAAAAAACAATCCAGTTACATATCTAAGACCATCTCCAACCCATTACACCAAAATGGTGCATCAAAATGGTGCAAAATTTACACCAAAATAGTGCAAAAATCACATCAAATAGTAATACATCTCCAACCCATCGCACTATTTTTTGTACTAAAAAAGAATATTCTCAGAATATTTTTTATATATTCCATTTTATCTACTTTTATATTAAGTAAAAAATAAAAATTAAAAAAATTAAAAGTAACAAACAGTAATAACACGGATGAACAGTACGACGTCATATTTGGCATCGCATTGTTCATCCGCTCTAAAGTGTCACAAAGAATACGGCACGGTTGGAGAGGAACGGTTCAACGCAGCGGCATTTGCGTTGGAGATGACCTAAATCATCAAACTTTAGTCCAAATTCAACTAATCTCAGATAATCATCACATAGGTGGGTACAAAACTTCAATAATATTTTGTGATGTGTCCTATCAAAATGAGCGGCTATTATAAATATAAACATTTAATTTCAGTACCCAATATATGTTTACCAATACATCCATTATCCTTTTGGCTCACGAGGAGAGAATCGCCATTCGAACTTTTTGGCTAGATTCGCGGTGGCATTTCGGTAATTGCGTAGCGCAGACAGTCGTCCTCCGTACTTTTATAAACAGCGATAGCGATATCGCGACAAAAAGCGGTGCAGTTACCTTCTCAGTATCCTTACCGCCGTCATTTTTTGTCGCGGCGTAGCAAATGATTAGCAACGCCGACTGCGGTAAGCTCACCGGGAATCAGCGCGGTGACCCCGGGGTCAATTTGCATTAACGCAGGGCAAGGGTAGCGGAATATTCGCAAATTACAGGGACTAAACCTCATTAATTATCTCTCGTGACGTAACTAAGTTGTTAATTATTCTTGAGTATCTTTGCATATAACACCACCTACATACGTTTTTTTGCAGGCTCTACTTTGCGTTGAAATTATGCTTTTGAGGGAAAAGGGAAGCGCATGGCGTAATAAATTTAACACCGAGAAAAAAGATCTGTACAAGTCAAATACGTCACTGTTAGGTTTGATCTGATCTTGAGCATGACAAAAACCTAGGTTTTAATACACAACAGGAAAAATAGTCGATAAAATCTATGTAGTACATTCAGCATAATTAGAAGTCTACACATAACATAAGTAGTCAAACTTAATAAAGCTCACTAGAGGAAATGATTAAAATCTAAATTAGTAAGGCTATAGCCGTATCATTACTACATTCAAATAAGATGCAACAAGTATTTGCACTATAGTAATCCGCGCACGCAATTTCAATTGCGGAGGTTTGGTTCAATTTCATAACTTTGAAAATTTTCAATTGCATTTATTTTTAACGATGATTCCATTTGCACAAATGCAACCACGACTTACAATAATAATTAACAAAATAGCCCCCCCTTGGTGCAAGTGAGTGAAAATATTCAGTGGGGAATCTTTTTAACAGATAAAGATCTACCCAATAAAGTACAAGATAGGGATTCATATGCAAAAGTTTTCACAGTACAATAATAAAAAAAATAATAATATAATAGGTGGGGTCATAGGGAATGGTGCTGATTGGTCAAAGAAAGGAGGGAGGTGGCCATAATGATAAAAATCCCCCCACCTTTGACTGTCATCGTTACCAACACTCCTCCTCTTTAGACCAAACTCCGCCTCTCTCTTCCCCCAAATTCAAAAGGGGGCGAAAAAAGGGGGGAAAAAAAATCAAATTTTTATCTAAATTCTCAAATCGAAGGCAAGAGATCGCAAGAAATCTCCGATCTTTGCCCTAGGACTCGAGAAATTGTTGGATCTGGTATGGATAACGCTCTGTTTTGCCGTTTTTTGGGTGGGAAATTTGAGGGGAACTGGCTTAGATCTCGGTTTTATTAACTATCCGTTGTTGGATCTTGGTCTATTTTTTTACGTTTCCTTTTTCTGGGCTTTTAATGGAATGAATTTGATCATGGAGCTAATAAGTTTTCAAAAAAAATTGAATTTTTTTAAGGTTAAGGTGATGGTTTTTTTTATGCGTTATTTGCGAAAAAGTTAGTTCCACCCCCCCTTAAATTCGTGTTGTAGTTGATCTTAAAAATCGTTTTTTTTTCTTTTTGGTGGGTCGGGGGTGGATCTTGGTATTTTTGGTGATTAATGTTGATAGAAACTCCTGTAGGAAGACTGTACATTTATGATGATTTTATGGGATATTTAACGCTGAACTCGGTCGGAGGGTCATTAAATATTAGTGGTTCTTTTATGGTAAGCTCCAAGTTTGAATTTTTACTGAAAATCTTAAATTGAAGCTGGGTGCTGAAATAAATTGCGAGGGGGGCATTAATGGTTGCTGAAGCACTTAAATGTTTGATATGGAAGCTCATTATGTTAAATTTGACCTCAATAAAGAATTTCTTTCACGTTCACTAATTTAGATGGGTTCAATGTTATTTATCCATTTCTTCTGTGATTTTATAACTCAGAAGGTTTTTTTTTTCCTTTTATGCAATTTTTTGTGTTATCCCAACTAGCTTGAGCTTAAGATCCTGTATGATCATTCGTCTCCTGACCTCTGATTTGATGCTGTGATATTTTGTATATAAATTTGGAAATTTGATCCTGGTCAGTACACGTGTTTGTTGCTAAAAATCCCTGACAGCTATCTTTGAGTGAACATATATTTCACATAGTTTAGAACATTAGCTTTGAAAAATTATGGATAATCTTGCCATGTTATTGGCCCTATGTAATGTCTTGTGCAAATAAATGATTAATACTTTGTTGATTATGCTAGCTTATAGATATCTGTAATTCCCTTTTCCTTTATAGTTCTGTTCATCTTTTTTGAGCTTATGGTGTCATGCAATTGTATTTCTGCAATTGAGACCTTAATTACTTCTTTTCTGTTTTGAACAGGTTTATAAATAGCCACGATATTGGGAGAACTAAAAAGGTGGAGTTGTATTCGTTTAAATTTCCATTTAGGGCATGGCATCAGCTAGTGTGGTGCATTCATCAGGGTTGAAAAATATAAATGGTAATAATATTGGCATGGACAAGTTGCCGGAGGAAATGAATGATATGAAGATAAGAGATGATAAGGTATCTTGGATGGAAATGATTCGTCATGTAATCATTATATTGTTTGTGTTATTGCCTATCAAATTCGATGATCACTGACTTATTTTAATACATGATTTCAGGAAGTTGAAACTGTAGTTGATGGAAATGGTACAGAAACTGGACATATAATTGTAACAACCATCGGCGGGAGAAATGGTCAGCCGAAACAGGTAATAAACCTTACACAGTATCTGTCGATGCTCCAAATTTAATACTTTTGATGAGGTTGGTAAAATATTACACGCACCAGTTTTTGGTTCAGTTGCCATTACTTTTCATATAGATTTGAGTGGCATGACTAAAAAAATTGGGGTTATTTTTTCTAAAAGGCAAAAAAAATCATGTATTTTACTTGTGTAAATTGCATGTTTGTTTTAATACTTAATCCTTTTCTAACTTTTATTGCAGACTATAAGCTACATGGCAGAGCGCGTTGTTGGTCATGGATCCTTTGGAGTTGTCTTCCAGGTAAGTCACAGTAAAAAATTGATTTGAAATTTGATCTGTCAATTCTTAATCTGTTGCATATATTCATGCCTCTTGCCTTGTCTATAAGCCTTTATGTAGCCTATGTCATATAAGTTTATCATGTGAATGTGGTTTTGGTGCTATATTGCATGTTAATGCAGTTTCTATGGAACTGCATTTGTATCTGCATCCAATTTATTAGATATGTGTGACAAATTTATGAGCTTTGGCCTTTCTTTGTTATTCAGGCGAAGTGTCTGGAGACAGGGGAAACAGTTGCAATTAAAAAGGTTCTTCAAGACAAGAGGTACAAGAACCGTGAGCTGCAGACCATGCGACTCCTTGATCATCCCAATGTTGTTGCTTTGAAACACTGCTTCTTTTCAACAACAGAAAAGGATGAGCTGTATCTTAACTTGGTTCTTGAATATGTACCTGAGACTGTTCACCGTGTGATTAAACACTACAACAAGATGAACCAACGTATGCCGCTAATCTATGTCAAACTTTACACGTACCAGGTAACTGTCTGATTTATGCTGCTGGTGTTATTTTTTATTTTGTTTTTGCCAACTCTCTTTTGTTCACTCAAAAGTATCTGGATCATGCTATTGCGCAGATGCTGCTTCAGTGGCTTTAGACTGTTGTTAAACGATAGCATAGTAAATGATACTATATTGTTAGTGGAGGCAAGGGTTACAAAACAGTTACTTGGATCTTGAATTGATGTTTTAGTATCAAAGACTTTCTGTTCATTGACATAAGTTCTGCTGGCGCCAATAAATCAAATTATTACTTGTTTTGATGGAAAGTATTTTTTATCTAGTTGCTATTCTGATGCTTTTGATACCTTTTAACAGATTTGTAGAGCATTGGCTTACATCCATGGTAGCATTGGGGTGTGCCACAGGGACATCAAGCCACAAAACCTTCTGGTATGTATATACTCTTTACGATTTATTTTCATTTTATTTGTGTAGTATACATACTGTTTTTGAATTCATAAAGATAAGTTTCATGCTGAAATAACAGAAACACTTTCTTTTAATCTTCTTATTTCAAAATGACTACATCGTTAGTAGCGGGACCAATTATTTATTCTCTTCTCTTTTTTGTTTCCCTTTTGCGTGAGTTTGTTTGTGGTGGATTTTGCAAAATTCTTGCAAGATAAATAACGAAACTTGTTCTTTTATTGCTACAGGTTAACCCACATACCCATCAGCTGAAGTTATGTGACTTTGGAAGTGCAAAAGTTTTGGTATGCCTGTCACCCATTGAAATTCTATTACACACTTTCTTGTTTATAAATGTGGTCCTTATTTGTTGTACGTTCTTTTCCTTTTGTTTTCAGGTGAAAGGAGAGCCAAATATATCTTACATTTGCTCTAGATACTACAGAGCTCCTGAGCTTATATTTGGTGCTACTGAATACACTACAGCAATTGATATTTGGTCTGCTGGTTGTGTTCTAGCTGAGCTCCTTCTAGGACAGGTTGGCTTTCTCATCCAAAACTACTTGTAGTTGGTTTAACTGTTTTCCCTTATAAAATCATATCAGTATGGTTAACATGTCTTTTTTCTTGTCAGCCTTTGTTCCCTGGAGAGAGTGGAGTGGACCAGCTTGTTGAAATAATCAAGGTAATTAACTGCTGCACATGTCTTGCTGTTATGTTAAATTTTATCTGTTATCAGATATCATTTTTATATGTTTTTGCTCCCTTTCCTCTGCCTCAGATCTTAGGTACGCCGACAAGAGAAGAAATTAAATGCATGAACCCTAACTACACAGAATTTAAGTTTCCACAGATTAAAGCTCACCCATGGCACAAGGTATGGCGTGCGACGTCAAAATCTGTTTTTTTATCTGTTACCTTAGCTATCTTCTTGTTTTCCTCTGGCAAAGTTTTGATTGCATAATTTTATCAGATCTTCCACAAACGAATGCCACCAGAAGCTGTGGATCTTGTCTCCAGGCTTCTTCAGTACTCCCCAAATTTGAGATGCACTGCTGTGAGTATATCAAGTTATTATACACATTTTTATTTGACACTAAACAAAACGTTTTCTTCTTTGTTCCAATGATGGTCAAATTTTGGTTTGTATCTTTGCAGTTGGATGCGTTAGTTCATCCATTTTTTGATGAGCTCCGAGACCCAAACACCCGCCTACCAAATGGACGGTTCTTGCCTCCACTCTTTAACTTCAAGGCACACGGTACGCCTTTGAATCTTTTGGTTGAATATTCATTTAACGGTTAATTGCAGATAGCCCCTGCAGTATAGCGGATCGTCTCTGTAGTATCGCTGTTTGAACTTGCTACTGCTCTAGCTTTGTTGCTGACAGACTGAGTGAATGGTTTTTGACTCTTTCACCCTCAGAGAAAGAGGAAATTGTTCTTCGACGAAGACCCTCTACTTTTAACAATAAATCTAGGAGGGCTAGCAAGTTCAAAGCAGCGATACTACATGGGGTCTATCCACAGTTAACCCTTCTTTGTTTCTGTTTTGGCCTATATTTACCATTAGCAATATTATGAGCAGAGTTGAAGGGAGTTCCAGCAGAGATACTAGTGAAGCTCATCCCTGAACATGCAAGAAAGCAGTGCCCTTTCTTAGGTTTGTGAGACGACAGGCTGGGTCTCTACTAAAGGAGAGAAGCATGCTCTTGTGAAGTTAGCAGCTTGCGTGTTGAACTCCTGAATGCTTTCTATGTCGCCATTTTTCTTGTTTTACTGCGTGTACGTTGGTGATCCTTGTTATGTAAAGCAAATGCAGAAGCGTGTCTTCTGATGTATCGGAATCTTGATGTGCCTGCTAACTACCGAAAGATGTAACATTATATAGAGGAGAAAATATTGCTTTTATTTAGCCTGTTAGTTTCGGTTATATGAGACCACTATGTTCAGCAAGCCTTAATAGATGTGCGTGACTCGAGATTGGATTGCAGTTTCTATTACTAATTTTTTCGGTCGTCGCACCTCTTGCAATTGAACTTAATTTTGTTGATGTAGTTTCTGATTCCTTGGGTGCTGCAGATTTTTATGCTTCGCCTTACTGTTCTGATCTTGTATTCGATTTCATATTAAGTCTTGTCCTTCGTAATGTTTCCAGATATAACGCATGGTTTCAGCTCTTCTGTCAAAGGATCTTGAGGGGAATTTGGCCAAGTTTTTGTATTATTTGCATGAACTATTGATTAGACCTAAGGTTCAATGGAGCAATGCAATCTGAACCAACCGAGAGATGCATACAGAAACAAAAGCAAAACCAACTTCGAATTCACACCAAACAAACATTGATAGATCAAACAAGACACGGAGACCAAACATTCTTAAGCTTCGTTCGCAATAAAATACAAACATTTCACATGATGAGCTCACAACTACACATCAATGTACATCCCTCGAAGAGTAAATTGATTTCAACCAGTCATTTACAACATAAAAAAAAACACTAATGAAAAGATCCGAAGAGTTCTAGTTCAAAGAAGCAAGTACCTCTAAAAGGGAAGCCACAAATTGCATTTGGGTTTCTTCGTCAATCGTGAAGAAAAGAGGGAAATGAACAAAGAGCGACTTGATTCCGTTTTGTTCAGCAAAACACAGAGAATGATAGTATACGTAGTTGCATACAAAGCGACCAGCATCATCTGAAGGAACCACGTTGAATCCCATCTTTGCCAAGGCCTTAGCAATATCATTCGCGGGAAGTGAAGTCTGCGAATGCAAAGCATGACGCTACGTCAAATGAACCATAAGCCCCAGAGGGAAGACATAATGTAAAAAATACATTCATGTAAAAAAAAAAAAATTATTCTCCATCACATGCTGCACAAACTGCATCACATGCTGCACAAACTGCCGTAGCAACCCTATGAAAAACTTCCCTTCATGTGCTTGGGATATTGTTGGAAACTCGTATGAACTCTAATTTGTAAGTTAGAATTGTATAACTTGAAATCCTTCAAAATAAGGCAGAAACCTGCCAACGAGAATCTTGGGCAATTGCCTTATGACGAAGGAATTTTCTTTCATAGTCCAAGGGAGAAGGCTGCCGCTGCTTTGCTTCATTCACTCAGAAAAATTATCGTGTGTTCGGCAAGTCAGAAATTATAGTCATGTACTGAAATATTAACCCTCCAGAGATGGTACTAAATAGTGATAAAAGGAACAGATAATTCACAATACCTTTCTATTGCGGGTAATGCCCCCATCTGCAGGGATGATCGGGACTCTCTGCAAGAGGAAGGGGAAAAAAGAAACAGGCTATAATAAATGAACATGGAAAGATAGCGCGATGAGTGACCGTTTAAAAAAAGAGAGGAAGATAAGTCACCTGAGGTTTCCATCCGAGCTCATCTGGGCACCGGAAAGTAGCTTCATTAACTGCTTGATTCTCGATGGCAAATCTTGATGCGCCACTATTAACTCCAAAGTGAAGCTGTCATACGAAAGAATAATGCATGAAAAATCTTGTACGATAAAATGCAGCAAGCAATAAAAATCAATGGACAACGGTATCTTCCACGCCAAGTGTAGAAGATAGTAATATACAAGCTGTCAAGATGTTTGAAAAGTGTAACATCAGCACTGAGATTCTAAGGCTGCCCAATTATAATCCAATTTATCAATATGGCTCACAAAATCCAACAAAAGAATCGTGTTTGAGAGAAACTGAACAAGAACTTGAGGTTTACAGCAAACAACGAAATAAATGGAGCTAATAAATGTTATGATTTTCATTGAGAAACTAATACAGGTTATTGCTGATGTTCCACAAGATATGAGAAGCATATGGTAATAAGAATGTCGGAATCTTGGATTGATGTACTTAATGATACATCAATACAGGAACTGCTCTCATTTAGAGGATGTACAATACAGTGTTATCACAATTTTTTTCTCGGACAATTATAAGTCATATGAAAATTTTAAGATAGATTAATAGTAGAAATCAAAACATCCTTATCAATTCTTATCTAAATATAATGTGATGATATAACACTTGGTCATCCTTGTCATGAGCTGAAACTTGGACTCACGCAACGGTTTATTTTAATCCGCTTTTAAATGCGCGAGCAACAATGTTTGAACATGAGTTGCTCCCTCACTATACCAAGACTTCGAATGCGCAATGAGGGTTAAGGATTCTAAAGTATATTCTAACAACACTAAAAAGGTTACAATAACCAAATAAATGCAGTACAAGTTGAAGAATAAACAAAAGAAAGAACTTTTGTGTTGTTTCATTAAATTTTACTCACATTTCACTAAGGGGCAAAAATTCTACCTTAAAAATGCAATAATTCTTAACATGCACACGCAAGCAAAAGGGTAGCTAAGCAACTGACCCAGATCACTTCTCCTCGAGTGTTCGAAGATCCATTGCCTCGCTCAGCCACCGCAGACTCCAACAATTTATAAAGCTGAGCAAGTGCTCCTTGTCCTGCAGTCTCAAGAACAGTACAATTACCAATAACAAGGCCTTTTGGTAACCCATTCTTGGTCATATATCCTCTCAGATTACTGACGATTGTTTCTGTCGGGTTTTCTGAGACTCCATGGAATTTCTTAAACCCTGTAATATGAACTGATACCTCCGAAGGACCCTCCGAACCCATTATGGATAACTTTTAAGTTTTTTTTTCCTTTCTATCGCCGGTGTATTTTATATACGTTGAATCTCTGCAGCAATCTTACTGAGATGTGTTTTCAGTTACCTGCCTTGAGACGAGCAGAAAATAGAAGAAGTAACTTGAGTATAACAGAAAATATATATTATCACGAGTGAATAAATTACATTAGCACCAAGTAACCTGATATAACAACAACAAATATATCAATCATATTGGCACCAAGTGAATTATTAGGAAACCTGAAAATGGCAGCATATATATTTAAAAAAAAAAACTAGTAACACATCCTAAATAAAAATCAATGAGAAGTATAAGCTAAACTGACCAGTAAAAATTTTAAGACTGATTGTGATCTTACTGACAGAATCTAGTTCTCTGGACCGGAATGCGTAGATCAAATTATATAAACAGAAAGTAAGCGAAGAGGAAATAATTTATTGAAACAAAAGCAGAAATTGAGTAATTGAAACCAAATTTTATCCGCAAATGATTAGATATCCATCGAGAAGGACAACCAAACAAATCTAACAGAAAAAGATCGAACTTTGCAGCACAAAAATAAACTAAAAATCACAGAATTGAAAAATGGGCAGAGACCCAATTGGCTCCGAGCAAAGAAATCACCATGAATCAGATTACATGAGGGGGGCAAAAAATCTCAACAAACCCATCATATTTTTTTTTTAAATTTTTGGCAGAATCAATCAAGGACCAAAACAACAAAAACCCAGAAATTAAAAAACGATGAAAAACATCAAAACCGAAAATAAATTCAACAAGTTCTCACCTTTCCACCTCTAGTTAATTAAAATTCAAAAAGATACTAATTGAAAAACTCAAATGGGTCGAAGAGGGAGCGGAGAGCCTCTATCTAAATAACATAAGGATTGTAAACCATTACAGATTATTAAACGAGAGAGCGAAAGAGAGAGAGAGAGAGAGGGGAAAGGAGAAGGGAGAAACAAACATGCCTTCTGCTTTCTTCATTCTCTCTTTCTTTTGTCCTGTCCCTTTAAACTACTTTCGTAGTTTAATGCAACAATTATTGACTGGACTATTTCTGGATGTTTGCACTTAAATACCCTATAGTTTTCTGCACTTTGCATATATATACCCTCACTTGTTTTAGCAGCATTATATACCCTAAAAGTTTTTAAACTTGCACTTGTATTATACAGGACCGGTCCTGAGCATTCGGGGGCCCTAGGCAAAAGCTTGAACAAAAATCCTAAAGGGGCCCTCCTATATTCAAGATTTTTTTTTATGAAGTGTTGCACCCAAGTAACTTTAGGACCGTCTACATACCAAATGATGCTATAACTAACCCCAAGAATCAAACACTACGTAGTTTTCCTAAGCTACTCACTTTGGCCAAAGGCCTACAAATCACACCCTAACACTCTCATTCCCAAAACAAAATCAATGAACCAATAGAAGTATCACTTTATGAAGTCTCTTCTTGCATTTTTAGGTGCAAAATCATTAATTAAACTTGTATAATCAAGTTTCTCTATTATATGTTTTGGGCCCCCTGTCTTTTGGGGGCCCTAGGAAAAGGCCTCTCCTGCCTATCCCATGGGCCGACCCTGGTGTTATACATCCTCAGGTGTTTTGACATCACTTATATGCCCCTAAAAATTAAAAAAATACACTTAAATACCGAAAGGTTTTGAAATTAGCACTTAAACATCCTCAATTGCACAAACTTGAGGGTATTTTCATGTAAGGTTTACAAACTTTTTGATATTTAAGTGTCAATTGTAAAAACTTTAGAATATTTAAGTACAAGGCTTAAAAGCTTTATGGGATATAAGCATTACCAAAAACAAATGAAGTTATCTAAGTAAAAGTTTTAAAAAAATTAGGACATACAAGTGCCGCAGAAAACAAGTAAAGATATATAAGTACATCATAGGGAAAACTATAGGCTATTTAAGTGCATTAAGTCATAAAAAAGATAACAACAACAACTAAGCCTTTATCCCAAATATTTGGAGCCAATGCAATTAACCCATGTATAAAGTGATATAAGATAGCAAAGCAGATAATAGCATGCGTAAAGCACGGATCTTAAAGTTGATTATAGTACTTGAGTAGGATTTTTCTTTAATTACGAGAGTCATGTGAGTCTGTTTACGAATTGGGTTTTTCTAATTACACTCTTATATCTGTAGCTCTTCGAAATTAGTCCCTCAAATCAGTGAAGTTGTCATCAGATCCCCCACCTCTTATTATCTTGCAACTCACTACTCTTAATTGGGGGGATTAATTTTAAAAAAAGCATTTCGGGAACAAATAGTAATTTCAATTATGTGAAAGACGAAGTTTTGAAACAACTTCTTAAGAATTTGGGAACCTAATAGAAATTTTAATGGTTTAATAGATTAATTTCAAATAAATATTTATGTTATAGTCTAGAAAATCAACAAGTGCTAATCTCCCTGGAGAAGCTAACACGTGTCTCACCCCTCGCCTAATCAGAGGAAGTGAGGTCGAGACGACTCAAACTACTCCTACGGCCGATCCTATGGGCTGACAAGTTGCGTAGTCAAGTCAAAAGACGGTACTTGTCAGCCACCTCACCCGATCGATCCTACGAGTAACCCGCACTCGGCATACCGTGTCAGCCGACAACTAGTGTAGTCGAGTCAAAAGGCGGTGCTTCTCGGTCGTAGACCAAACAAAAAGAGAGATGGCAGTTACGAACCCCTCGCTAGGCTACTGCTCTCGTATTAACTGCTCGGACAAAATCATCATTACTCTAGTCCTTATGACTCATTGACCTAGTTAGCTCCAAGCACCTGTTGTCATTCCCTCATTAAATTACCAAATGACTGACTTTCTTCTGCGGTCGACAACTAGAAGGTATTTGCTGACTCAACAGCTTGGTTGGACTCGGCCGAAGTTACTTTCATACCCCTCTGACCTGCTATAAAAGAGAATACGCTGCATGGGCCAACTTCTTGGCCTTTTTGGAAACTTTGAGTAACTATCTCTACAATTTGTCATGGATTTTTCCATTCAAAATCAAAATACTGACTTGATCGTCAGTGGAACAACCGGAGAACCCAACTCCGTCCTCTTACAAGTTTTTATGTGCAGTGAAGAACAACAACGGACTTATTCTATGTGCCAACATCAACAACTTATAATATAAACCCCCTGTTTGATAACCAACATCAACAATTTATAATACTAATATCAAGTAAACCACTATAAATAATCACGTCCCGCCTTACAAAATTCTATGTGCCGCGGTTTTATGTTCAATGATTAAGACAGCAAAATTGCGTGGGATTTATTTTGCTTTATCTTATTCTCAATGGTAGTCTTAGTTATCACGATTGCGATTTGAAACTTGTAGCTTTTTTCTACGTTACAAGAAAAGAGAGCTTGATATTTTATAATCAAGTCCACAAATGTTAGTTTATCTAGGTGTTGAAGCACTAATATTATCGGATTAAGAACAGTTCGCAAATTGTGAACGAGGAAAGGATAACGCTGAGTAACTTATTTTGTGGCGAGTTAACTGCAGATAGAGCCCCTGTAATATCAGTGCTTTGAACTTGCTGCCCATGTAGTTTCATCGTACCCTCCAAATTAAAAATTTTCGGGTTAATTGCAAACAGACCCCCTATAGTATGACCCAATTTCAACGAGACCCCATGCAGTTTTATTTGTTGCGAATAGACCCCTTATAGTTTTGCTTGTTGCGAATAGACGCATTGAGTGAACTTTTTTACTCTTAAAATCGTTAAAAATGTTTGAGGAGATGGATAGGACCCTTATAGTTCTATTGATGAGGATAGACACCCAATTCCTTTTTTTTTTAACTTTTAAAAGAGTCGAAAAAGTTCATTAAAGGGTGTAATTAATTCACACTTGGGCTAATAATACAAGGGGTTCTATTCACAACAAGTAGAAGTACATGGGTTCTATTCGCAACATATAAAACTATAAGGGGTCTCTTTTCAATTGGGTGATACTACAGGGAGTCAGTTCACAATTAACCCAAATTTTTTTTCGACCCTTTAATATTATTCATAGTCAAACATGGAATTGAAACCACAAACTTCAAATAAAAACCTCACATTTCAACCAAATAACCTCACGCTTATCCACTCCAACCTCGTATATACTCTCATAAACACATTACAAGAATGAGCATATTAACTAATCCACTTTCAGTTCAAGAAATCAATGCTTTCTAGATCTGCAAAGACTCTTGAGCTTAATCTGAGGCTTCGAATATTCCCCAGAGAGAATCTTGGAAGCAATTATTTCATTAGCAACTTCAGTGTTGTGAACTCCATCCCAGCTCACATAACGAGAGCCCAACGGACAAGGCGAAGCCGTTGGCTGTCCGCAGGTCATTCTGTCCTTGTAGTTGTACGGAGGCCCTCCATGGCCGCAGCATGCCATCAATGGGGACTCGAAACCTGCAAAAGAGTTGACTCAGCATCGGTTCATTGGTCACGGTATCATCATGTCTCAATCCTCTATACTGTCAAAAAACAGTAGAAAGGCTCTTCCTTGATCATAACTGTCTATTATAGTCATGGCCACAATAGGCCATTAATGGGCATTATGAACTTGCAAAAGTATTGTATCAGCATCGGTTTGTTGATCCTAGCCTTGGATTTGGACCCTCTCTATTGTAAAAAAGCATTATGAAATCTCTTCCTTTATCGCAACCGTCTATTATTTAATCAGGACTACAACAGGGCATCAATGGGTAGTCGAAACCTACAGAAGAATTGAACCAGCATCAACTTGCTGATCCTAGCATCAGATCTAGATCCTCTCGACCGCCGAAACATATTAGGTCTGTTTTTTTTCTTAATCACAGTTTGTTGTTTAATGAAACTGTTGAGATTCATTGCAAATCTAACACCTATCATATTTACCGCATTCTAATGTTCTTTGAATCAAAGCTTTACATTAAAATAATAGACATCTATGACTTGAGAAAATTGATCCCCTTCTGCTTTCAGGGGTCGCAATCAGGATGTGGAGCGATGGTGCGAAAGCAACTTTTTTGAGCGTGAAATAGTGTGCACGTCAGAAATATATGGTAAGTGTTAGCCTGCATGAAGATTGAAGTGTGAAACTAGGAAGAAAAACTCTTATTTTGTCTTATACTGAGATATCTTCTTTTGCATTTTTCAACAATAACGAGTAGTTAGGATTCAGAATCTCACTATTAAAATATTTTCTCTCTCCGCCGTTTTCATTTTCAATATCCACTTCGGTCTATTTTGGTCGGAAGTTAAAATGCTAGATATTTATGTGGTGAAGTTCACTTGCACTTTCAAGTGCTAATTTTACCCAAACAAACTCCTGAACTACATGAAATTGCTTCCATTTCTTACTTTCATCCTAATTTTTCTCCAAACAAATCAAAATATAGCAAAATATTCTAACCAATCAGGAATCGGATTCGCTCTGCTGCCACCTAGACATTAGAGAGATCACTCTCTCAATTATAAACATCTAATAATATCTATAGATGTATGATTCTCTGTATCATACTTCCTAAATTGTACTCATTCCCGTTTGTTGGGTGGGGGTGGTGGTGGTGGTGGTGGTGGTGGTGGGGGGGGGGGGGGGGGGGGGGGGGGTGGGGGGTGTTGCGCGCAGCGGAAAATTTCGGTAGCACTTCGGCAGCACAACAAGAAGAGTCAGATCGCATAAGAATTCCCGTCTCACCAAGGAAGACAAGAATCTGAAGCGGATATCTCAACCAAGTGAGATATCGGCTCTTCTCTCATCAGTTCTAGGACTGACCTGTCGAGGGATCCTAAAAAGCTATTACAAATCACACAAAAGCAGTACAACCAATTTTTACGTGGTTCGGCAAATTGCCTACGTCCACGGGGCAAGGAGGGGGGAGATCTACTAATAAAGGGAGAGAATACAACTAGGGTTTACAATCACTCTCAATCTAAACCCTCACACAAAACTC